TTGCATTTTGCATGCTTGTTACATTGCATTTGGCATGCTTGTGTTGCATTGCATAGCATCTCCATATGCTTACATTGCATTGTGTTTGGTTTGGGTGTTGAACCAAACACGAGGAACGAGGGACGTTTCGTACTTGAAGTGACGAAATGTGCCTCAATCCTCGGTCGCCAACACTCTTGATCCAACATGATAGAGTGTGAGGCATTCATGTGTTTTTGTGCATTCATGCCATATTGAATTGCACACTTGGCTCCTTTGGCCATCATGCATCGAAATACGTGATTGGTGGCCCCGAGGGTCGAGCACTACACGCCTTTGAGTCTTAAACATGATAAGGGGTGTAGTTGCAAACATTGTCTTGCAAATGTATTGACATACCTCTGTTTGTCCTCTGCTGCAGCAAAAGGAGCATTTTACAAAAAGAGATGGTCGATCGGCTATCTGGTGTGCCTATCGGCTAAAAGTGTTTGGCCAATAGCTTCATAAGTGGTCGATGAAACCTTTCCTTTGGCCGATGGCTTCTCAGCATGGCCATGAAGTGGTTCAGAGGCATCACATATATTTTCACAGTTCTCAAAGGTGCAGAATAGTGCAAACAGAGGCAACATGGGGCATGGCAACGGATTTCCGAGCAAAGCCGACCGAGCATGCATATGTCCCTCTTCTCGAGGCCGCTTTAACTGCTTTGTAGCTTAATTAATTTCCTTAATTAGTTAAGAATTTTGTAATAATTAATTAGCTTGTTAGTTAGTTAATTAGTTAGTTTGTATTATTCATTCGAACCCTCCGTCGAGAAGGCACAATTGTGTAATAAGTGTGCGTGCGTGTGTGAATGTCTTCCAACCCCACATCTTTCTCCCTTTTATTTACCTACTTTTGATGGCTAGTTCTAGGTCGTATTCAATTAGCATCCTTATGCTATGCATGTTTGCATCATTCATCTGTATTGCATGCACCGGGCTCCGCGCATCATACTAACTGCATTATATTTCAATTCCTACTTGAATACAGATTATCAAGTTGCATTTCATATGCCATTTTAGAATAGTCGAGCCTATTTCTAGTTGCATTTTGCATGTGTTGCATTAGTCACCTTAACATAGCTAGGATCATGCATTGATTACTAACTAGCTATTGTTTTGGCTCGGAGTACTAGGTAAGCTTTTATGCTTTAGCATCTTGCATGAGTGTGAGTATTAACACGATAGCATGCTTACCATGAGGCTAACTGCTTATGCGATATAACTGTCTAAATGCCTGTGGGTGAAGGTTGGATTACTTGAATTGGAACAATTCATCGAAATGCCAGTTTTAAGCCCACTTGAGAGTGGCAAAATCATGTTTTCTTAAGCCCACTTGAGGGTGGCAAATCCACGTCTTAGCCTACTTGCGAGTAGCACCTTCAAACCATTTTCAAACAAACATGAGATGTTTTGTTCCAACTTAGGCGATCTATTCTATACTTGTGTGTTGTGCGCATCACATAGTAATTTTAGCTAATAACCGGAATAAGAACACATATGTTTTCAAAATAATATATCATGCTTAGTACAGGCTGATCTTTGATCGGGCAAGCGGGGGTGCTCATTGCATGACCTTCCCCTCTCGTACCCAAGTTCCCGAGCCGAGGCAACTTTGGTGATAACGGACACATGGCCTTAGGCACGAGTCAGGGTTTCCTAAATTTTCCAAAACAAAAATATTTAGGTGGCGACTCTGTATTTGGCAAAATAGTCCATGTTTGGCACTTCTTTATAAAAGTCATTTTTTCAAAACGATTTGTCAGATTTGGACTCTTTGGTGATTTATCGATCTTGCATTGCACTTTACGAAATTAGATTCAGAACCGCGACATTGAGTTCTAACTGTAGTAAGCTAATGAACAAACCGAGATTTCGCGCCATTTTGCGCATGGAGCCCGAGACTTTCGGGCACATCTACAGCTAGGTTAGGATTGTCTGAGATGTATTTGGCCGAGCTGAGACAGAACACGATGCCAGACCGAGTTTGACCCACGCGAATTATGGTGTTGGGCCAGACTTGGCCGAACAAGCTCACGGTGGGGCCAAGCTGTAGATGGTTCGGACTACGGTAGTAAAAACAGACAATCCATGAGGCCGCGATATAAGGCCGAGATGCCGAGCGGCACACCCCACATCTGGTCGATTCTAATGGACCGGTTTTGTTTTGCTCAACAGTGGCTATCCATCATAATGTTTATGTCTCACCAAGTAATAGCTCGGTTTAATATGCCACATGGACCAATGATGAGAAGAAGGAAACCCACTCCTGGTATACGTCAATACCATTTGGCGGTTCAACAAATACTGTTTGGAGGTTTTGGTCTCTACACGTGTAAGAAATGTAGAGGGGAGCACAGCTGCCTGTCTAGAGAAGGACGGCAGAGGTAGTGCGCTCACAATCTCTGAGGCTGCATGGCCAGCCTTGAAAAGGAAGAGCATGCACCGTTAGATGTAAACTATTTTTGACATACTCTCTCTCTCTAGAAAGTGCTTTGCCTTCTCTTTTCTTCTCTGACTGTGCTAACTTGAACGTCAGAGGGTTTATTCGGCAGCACACCGCCGGACAGCTCACCGTCTTTCTGTTCTCAGGTTAAGCAACGTCACACGGGGCTTGGATACAAGGACTACGGAGAGCGGCGAATATTTTCTCCCCGTACACTATTAATGCTATAAATTTTGTCAAATTATTTTGCTGTTTGCATTATGAAACCTTGACTAAATACTGTTAGAAATATATGGAAGATATGGAGGTATTCTGTTTGGTCTAAAAAACATTGAATGATTCGAAAATAATTTAACAAATTACAATTTGTACACAAAACAAAATTTAAGAACGTACAGACAGTTTATGCAATATTGAAAATGATGAAGAAAAAGGAACTTGAAAACAGAACAAAATTCTGAAGAATTTGACTCTAAATCGACTCTAATTTCAAAATTATTTTTGTTGTAATTCGAATTCAATTCGACTCTCAGATGGGTGAGGTATTTATAGGTTTTGACGTGAAAGTTCAAACAGACACAAATTTGTTCGAATTCGAGAACTTTGGCGATCGTAGCAACCTTTACCAAATCAATAGGAAATCATAAGAAGTGGTAATGGTAGTGCTTCGATGAGAGGGGATGCGGCCATGAGGTGCGTGGCAGTGGTGTTAGAATAATGGTGGTTCTGGGTTGAGTTCTTGATGATGATGGGTAACATAATAAGTTGTTGGTAAGGAAATAAGGAAATGAGGATATTACAGTAATTTTGATTTCAAATTATATCTTTAACATTAGGGAAATATTTCACACACCTAATTAGTTCAAGGAAATATTAATTTAAGAACAATTATATCCTACATAAAAATGATCATAATAAACATCCGACAACAGTCATAATATTATATAAAAAAATTCTCTGTATACATCTTTTAAGAATAAAAAAATCTCAATATACAGTTTTTAATTTAAAAAAATTAAACCCTAATACATATATTTCTACAATTCACTGGTTTTCTGGCGCAGCAATGGCTGGAATTAAACCCTAATATATATATATATATATTCCTAAAAATTAAACCCCAAAAAAAACTCTGAAAAGTATATGGAAGGGTAAATGCTATGTGTTTAATAATATTTGAGTTGGGTAAATCAAAAGTATATGGAAGGGTAAATGCTATGTGTTTAATAATATTTGAGTTGGGTAAATCAAAAGTATATGGAAGGGTAAATGCTATGTGTTTAATAATATTTGAGTTGGGTAAATCAAAAGTATATGGAAAGGAAGGGTAAATGCTATGTGTTTAATAATATTTGAGTGAAAAATATAATTATAATTTTTAATATGTGAATTAAAAAAAATTAATTAATAAATAAATTAATAAATATGTATATTGAGAAAAAATATGTCCTAAACTAATTAAGTGTGTGAAAATAAAATTACCCTTAACATTGTTACCATGCATTTTAATCAGTGTTGAGTTACACGCGCTGTTATTTATAACAGTTTCTTTTAGTTTTACATTTTACCCCAAATCATGAAGAGTTTGTGTATATTCCTAAACTTAAAAGGAATAATGTGTTTTTGAGACAAATTACAAAGGGATAAAATGTAATTAATCCAAAATAAAATTTTTAATTACTCTTTTATACAATAATAAAATTATCTACATTATTAATTGAAATAAATTTTTAATATCGTTAAAAATTATTAATTGACTTGATTTATTAGTATAATAAGCCAATTGTTATAAAATTCAAAACGACAGGAGGCGAGATGAAATTTTCAAAACCATAGCAAGCAATTTTTATTTTAAACAAATCTCAAAAAAATATATTTATAATTTATCCTTAAAAAAATAATACATATTTTATATATATAAAAAATTAATATAATTACAGCAAATGCGGAGTAGAATGAGATGGTGGAAGGAAAACTTCCTTCTCTAAAGCAAGACTTCATTGTTACACCCCCACTTACTCAAGTCTATTCCACCTCATGCTCAGTGTTCTCTCATATTTTGACTTTGCCAAAAAAAAATTGTACAACTTTAATTATGAATTGTATGATCTCTAGGGTAGAGAATGTAAATGAACCTCAATCCATGGTTTGAGATTTATTATTTTTTTAGATATAAGAATTGTTAGACATTAGATATAAGAATTGTTAGATATTAGTAGGAAAAGAATGGGATAAAATAAGAATATCAAACATATCTTCATAAAATTTAAAACCACAGCACAAAATGTTACTTATGCTACTTCACAAACAACAAGACACAAGCCCTGCCCAGTCTGGGTTTTTCAATTCAACTTGATCAAAATTAGTCAAACAAGTATGAACCAAACTGAATTCGAAATTAAACCATCGAGTTTGAGATTAGTTTTTCCCGCATTTGAAAAACTTCAATTTGAATTCAAGGAAAAATTTATATATCAAATTTACATTAAATCCCATAACATAAAGAAGATTATGACCAAAATATAAATCAAGTATTTAGCAAAATAAAAGTAAAAATTTGCACCGAATGGATCAACTATGTCGTAACCGGGAAAACAATAAAAACAAAAATCCCAACCCATGAAACTAAATTCGATTCTGTTTCCTAATTACTCATGAAAGTATACAAAAAAGAAACATAAAAACTAAAATCATTGCAGACAAAATCAAAGACATGCTCCGCTAGTTTCCGAATAAAATACACAACAGCCCCAGCCCACGAAATCCCAAGATACCCAACAAAATATAGACCTGTTCCTCACAAGAAAAAATGAGAGAGTGAACCAGACAACTTTAACAGACAAGGGGAGAAATCAAAGGCCCAAAACTCTCAAAATCTCAGGACAACATACCCCACCGTGTTCCCAGACGGAGATGATGTCTGCAATCTGATACCCCTACTACTGTTGCTTGCATTCTGGCGGACGCTCACCCTGCTGACCTTCCTTAGCTAGTGCTCGCATACTCTTCTATAATTCACAGCAAAAACAGATGTTATCCAAAAGCACACACCGTTCAAAATATTTACATTTTGTGCAGAGTAAAAAACCAAATTAAGTAGTTATAACATCTCTCACCTTTGGTCCAGATGACTGCTTGAAAATCCCAATCAAACAGCCCACAAGAAACAGGGAAATAAAGTATTAGTATGTTCAGAAATTGAAAATCAACACTGGGAAGGAGGCAACTTTGGCTTTTGTTTAAAATTTTGTACATGTTACCTTCTTCGTGAGTAATTTGGACTTATCTTCATCTTCGTCAGCGTCCTCATCTTCGTCCTCATCTTCATCTTCATCTTCCTCATCCTCATTTTCTTCATCATCATTATCATCTTCATCATCATCGTCATCTATGTCTTCAAGGTCATCCCCCTGAACTGCCTCCCCCGTAAACCATGAGACAGCATGGGGGATAATTTTGTCCCGAATGGTTGAACTGCATATATGAACCCACATATCACATTACATTACTTTGCATAAGTCATGAAAAAGTGTCCCTAATCTTTTATATATCAATTGATCTTTTCAAGAAACCCAATCTCACAAATTTCCCACTGCCATTTTCCATTATAGTCAAAAGTAAAAGGATCCTCTTTAAAAGATTAATCTATACAAAAATTAGGCATGATTCCCTCACCACGCACATACCAAAGGAGAAAAAAAGATCAGGAGGGAGTTAACAGAACCACATTCCTCCCAAAATCTTGTCCTACTAAGACCCACTTTCCCCATTCTTAAAAACTAATAACCAATTTAACACAATCCTTAAAATTTTGATCACATTCATTTATTGTATGCAACATCCAGAACTGAAAAGTGAAAACAGAATGGGTGACTCACCCAATGTCATAGTCTTGCTCCATTTGGTTCTGAAGTTCTTCTGCCTGTAAATCAATCGAATTGAATCAATTAGAAAAGAAACCAGATTATAATTCACAATGGATTCAACAAGTATTCTGGTGTGAATAAAGCTGCTAAACATACAGTATCTTCATCAATATCATCATCATCCTCAGGAACCTCAGGAGGGCTGAAGAAGTTGAAGAAACTTTCACATTTTTCAGTCTTTGTAATAGGTTTTGCATACTTGGACCCCTTCTTCGGCTTCTTCTTCAGGATCTTCTGAGTCAAGCATTTACCTGGATACCATTCAATCTCCGTTCTACAAAGCACCAAACAAAAATGTGAGATTTAGAGCAACTATAAAGTTTAAGGACAAAAAAATAGAAGCTTACCCTATTGCTTTCTCTAAAATAGGTTCATCATCATCAATCATGTGATATGTTTTTGTCAAAACCAAGTTCTTGAAAAAAGGGTTGGTATCAAAGAAGAACTCAAGCTTAAAGCCCTTGGGATTATCAATCCTACACCATTTGATATCTCTAAGATATTTGAGGGCCTCTTCATCGCGCTCTGAGATCTAAACAAGGGGCAACAAATCACACTCAACTTAGATTAATAGCCAAAACGATTTATAAAAAAAAAAAGGTAGGGCATGGGGATAGGAAGGGGAAAAGAGTGGTTGATTGTAATATCTCTTACCTCCTCAGCTAATACTTCGTTATGCTTCATTGCATTGACCCAAAAATCAGGAACACCTTTCTCAGCTTTAGACACATCAGTGAAAAAAATCAGACTTTAACGTGTATAGTTTCCCAACAAAAGAGACAAGGAGAATCCAACAATTTCTAAAAAAGTGAGTTACTTTCTGTAGACTTATCATCCTCGAGGTCCATTGTGGCTTCACTTGTAACTCCTTCAACTTCTACAACGCCATTTACAATTTCAAACCTCTGCAACATGTCCAATCACATTACAAGTCAAGCAACAAAGAATAACTATGTTGACCAAACAAATAGGCAATTCACATAAATTTGAACTTTTAATTACAAGAAATTATATCGTACTTGGGAAAATCATTAAAAAAAACAAGAATGTTGAACAACAATACACAGGTCATTTAATGAACCAAATTCTCCATACCTTATCATATAGTGGTCCATAAAGCTTCTGGTATTTAGCTTCAAGGGCTGCTCTCTCCTCAAAAAACTTCGCCTCCAACTCATCATGTTGGCTCTGAAAATTTATAACATGTCATGGTACAGCAAAACATTGCACTTCAACACACCCAAGAAATCTACATACACACATTTTGAAACCCTTTATATATCAAATGTTCAAGAGAATGAAGGCCACAATATGTCAAAAGACCCAACGAGGACATTCCCATAAATATCCATATAATCAGCAATTCAACATCATTGACACATTCCTGAATAGAAACTGAGCTACATAATTTGTGCATATTCTCAGTTCAAAATAGAAATGCAGTACAAGCTCATTCATTCCTAAATGTCAAGGCTTATTCTCGACAAAGTATAAACTCTAGCCACTTTTCCTAGTTCCACTATTCTAAAAGCTGGTTCTGTCATGGAAGTGATTCTCGAAGTCGAAGTACCTCTCTAGAATTTCAAGTGAAAAAATGAATAATAAAACTTTTTCAAGATTAACAAAAACAGGAACTCCATTCAGTCTATTGTAACATTCTCATGTACAAATCAATAGTACATATCTCAAGACGTTCGAAATCCATACATGATGAAATAGGAAGAGAATAAAAATTGAAAATTCTAAGCTGGTCACACTATTGCATTGTGAGTTATAGAGACCTGCATGTTGCATAATGACTTACAGGGACCTCCACACTTAATGACAACAATTTTTATATTATTTTTTATAAAAAAAATCTAGGGTATAACCATTATATCAAAATAAACCATAAGGTTTCACTTTTGTCAAATTAGGAAGGAAAAAATTAGTCACTAAACCCAATCTAAACCTAACATACCGTTTCCATTGGGTTTAATGATTAAAATACCTTTTAGGTTGATTTTACTTAAAATAAATAGGTAAAGGTTTATATTCAATCAAAAGTTTAAAAATTTAAATTGACAAATTTAAAATTTTATTTTGTTATAGAGTCCTTTTTGTGTGTGTGTGTGTGTGTGTGTGTGTGTAATTTTCCCTTTTAAGTTTTTATATTGCAAGGGTTATCGACAATTTGACAGTGAAGGCAGTGTAATTTCAGAAACCACAGGAAAGTCTCAGTAATTGCCATATATGTACTTAACCCAACTCAACCCAAGAATATTACTAACTAGACCAAGACATGAAACAAGAAAACATCTGTAAAACAAAATACAACATCAATTTTGAATCTTATCAGTAAGATCAAAAATATTCAAACCAAACCTGAAGTTCTCTGAGAACATCAACTCGCTTCCGAATCTTCGGGGGCAGAGTCTCGAGAACATCGGAGTGCTGCCCAGCCAAATTCTGAAGCTTATTCTGCAACAAAAATAAAAAATACCCAATCAATCAATTTATAAAAAAAAAAAACCCTAATTTCTAAATAAACACATCGGAAACAAACCTTTAGGGCATTAACAAGACCAGCACGATCCTCTGCACTAAGTGCTACAAACAATAACAAACGGACAAAGATTGAACTTGAAACTTCCAATCCATATCGATGCTAGGGACAATTCCAAACCAACCATCGAATAAACAAACAACAAAACAGAACAGAGACAGATAATAGCTAATTATGGAAAAATTCAAGAAAACCATTCACAATCCCAGTGAAACTTTTGATAGTTAGTATGAACTGGATTTTGAAACCCTAGAGAGAGAGAGAGAGAGAGAGAGAGAGAGAGGAGGGTTTTGGGCTAGATAACGCGAGAGTCGGCGTCGGCTCTTCTCTCTCTCTTTCTCCCGTCGTGACCTAAGGAGGCTCTAGGAATATATACAAGTAGGATTGTGTATAATGCTGTTTAATTCGTTAAAATCTACAAGTAGGATTGTGTATAATGCTGTTTAATTCGTTAAAATCTCGCCTATTTGCATCAATTCATATTGCTCTAATTGTGGTTTTATAGATGATCGCAGATTTTTTTTTTTGGACGGTTTGATTTGCGATTTGAACATATACGTAGTGTGATTTGTAAGTTATAATGATACGATTAGCAGATATGGAGGCGGTTTACAGATTGTTCTTATTTTTTAAAAAATTGATTGGGGATGTATTAATAAGTACATTTTTTTTATTTTTTTATTTTTTTTTATTACATTATTTTTTTATTTTTTTTATATTTTTTTATAAAAAGATAAAAAGTGTACTTATATAAGTCATTTCACACAACCCCTAAAGTCACAGCAGTGATCTATGAGCTTTGGGAACAATATTTCGGCCATTTCTTTATTCAATTCTACATCTTTGGGAGAGAATTCAAGGCCTTCATTAGCCATATATATGTGTGTAATTCTCTCAATCAGAGAAATGGAGAAATTCCCCTCTATCTCTGGCGTCTCACCCTCGCCGACCCTTCTCCTTCTCCTTCTCCTTCTCCTTCCTCCCCTATACTGTTGCTCTATCCATCTCAAGTTCCCAATCTATTTCAAAGAGAATCACTATCAAGACAAAAACGAGCCTCAAAGTGAAAAATTACAGAACAAGCTAACATTCTGTAAGAATTGGCTAAAAGGGACAATAGGTAAGAGCATCTCCAACAGTTAATCAAATTTTTTACTAAATTTGAGTAAAAAAAAGTTAATTTTTCCAATTTGATATGGCTTGCTCCAACGGTGCATCAAAAGGGAAGGGTCGACCGATTAGTCGACCGGTAAGAGCAATTTTTTTTTTTTACCTGTTTGAACCTTTTTTGATCGGTTTGAACCCACTATTTGAAAGGAAAACCGGTCGACCGGTTGGTCTTCTCCAATAGTCACGCACAGTAATTTGGTGAAACCTGTATTCTGTTATCAGTTTAATGATTTTTTTGTTCAATTCTCATTTTGATACCAATTTGGTGAAACCGTTAGAGCTCCAAAAAGTACATTTTTTACCAAATTTCAAATTTGATGCCAGGTTTGCTAAACCGTTGGAGATGGTCTAAAAAAAAATGTTTAGTGCAGACGGACGAAATCCATAATTCACCCGCAACTCGCAATGAAAGAATAATTCAAACCACATCCAACTCTACTCTACACTTAAAACCGTCCATTTATATACAGTTCGGATTGGGTTGGGCGGTTTTTGAGGGTTAGATATTGTACGAGGAAGAAATAATTCTCCTCGTATAATCCTGTTGACTAAGTCCACGCTCCTCCGTACGACGTCGCTTTGTCACCTGAAAACACAAAAGTGAGCTAGCCGGCGGGTGTGTGCCGGAAACCTCTCCGATGCCTAAGTCAGAAAACTTGACAAATAGACAAAGCTCAATGTATTCAGTAAGCAAAATTGTATGTTGTGTTATCTTACCTCCTCCAAGGTGATGCTTGTGAGCTTTTATAGGTTTCGAGTGACACAATCCTAGTAGGACTTTTATTTCTCCATGCAGAGTCCTCCTAGGATTCATACTCCTAAAGGATAATGCTTATCCTTTTACACCCCCCCACTATTTAAACCAAGTGGGATGGTTTTCACCATGGCCGAACTACCATACGACCGAGATAAACCTGGCTATGCTGAGCCACAGAGTAAGCCGAACTATCCTTAGTTCGGCCCTTCCCTTTATTCTTCCTTATCTCGGTTCTCACCTGTTCAACCCATGGTGTGTTTGGACTGAACCAATGACTCGACCGGTATAACTCCAAAAACCGGTATAACTCTAATGCCGGTATAAATTCAAGACCGATGTACCTACAAAACCGGTCTAACTTCAAGTTGCTCCCGGACCGAAGTAGCTTTACAATTTACGAGCCAAAGTAACTTCATCTCTTTTGGCCAGAGTAACTTTATCTCTCTTGGGCCTGAGTAACTTTTCGGCCCTTTTTACTCAGTTCGTCATACTTTGGGCCATAAAGTCCATCTCATAGCTCGGCTCAATTTTCACCCAAAATTACCCTCTCAATTGCCCCTTAATTCCATCTACACAGCATGTATGGGATTACCAAGTGATCAGCCGAGCTAAAGGTTTTCAAGCCTTTCCAGCCAAACTAAAAAATCGTTTTAGCCACTCCAGCCGAGCTTATTTCACTCCGGCTCTACTTGTTCGGTCAAAACATCTCTTCAATCACTGACTGTAACGCTTCACTTTTCAATGACACGTGGCAGGCTCTGATAGGCTGTGAGCTGTTATCACGCCGCCCTCGTACCATGAAATTTTTGAACAGTCCCGCCCCTTTTTGCCGCTTTTTCTCTCTCCTTTTTCACAAAACCATCCTTTCACTTTTGAATCATTTACTCTACTCCTTACTTCTTCTCTCCCTTGTTCCTGAGCCCTGAGTTTGAGCTTGCTGTGTTCGCGCCCTCCATTACTGCTATTGCCTCCATCTTCTAACTTCTTCCTTTTTACTCTGGTAAGCAAATCTAACCTTCTTGCTTTGTTTGTTTTCATATTTTGCTTTTCATGTTTTTGCTTTTCATGTTTTTGCGAAACATGTTAGTCTATTTTCTGCTTTGCTTCTGTACTTTGCTGGAAAAACTTTACTGAACCCGTGTGCATGAAGTATTCTGTAGAAAACTAATCTTAGATCCAAAATCAAGTAGCAACCAAACTAGGATACTGTTTGTCCTATATAGGTAGATCTCTTTAGATAATAACCGAACTAGAACTCTAGAAATCAGTAGTTTCAGTAGGTTATCAACTCTTGAGTCACTCTGGTCCGAGATAGGTCCACCGAACGAAGTTTGTACTCCTTAATTTAGAAACCTCGGTCTCCAACCGAGCTAAGCCTTTGGGGCTAAGCCAGCTTTCCTAGTTTCTGAACCAAACTCAGAAAAGCTGCCCCTAGAGGCTCAACCGAAGTAATAAAACTCATTGTACAACCGATTTAGGCCTTTGGGGCTAAACCAGCTTTCTTAGTTTTTTAGACCGAACTCAGAAAGCTGCCCTTAGACGATGAACCGGTCTAAAAATTGATTCCAAGGCCAACATGCCGAGATACATACCAAGGTCTGGCTAATAAAAACCCTGCTCAAACCGAGCTATCAATCATTTTTGCTGAACCAAGATAGAACCTTTCTATAAAGCCGAAGTAGGGCTTTTATTTCCTTGCTTTTAATTTGTAGCACGGTCTTATGATCTGTGCTTAACCACATTGTTTTCTACTTTGCAGACTTAGGTTGTCCAGACACTCCTTTGTGCGCTCGACCGAGCTACCGAGCACCATTTTTGCACCGATATAACTAATTTGTAAATTATACACCTCAAATGGGGAAGTATAGGCACCTAGTTAATACTCCGGGCGGTCTAGTCGAATTTAGGAAAGACTACCAAATACCTGATGATGTCTATCTGATCTTGGCCGAAAAAGACGTTATTCCCTGGGATAATGAAGGCTTCGTCCCCTTCACCCTTTTGTCCATTATTAAAACCGGATTGCGATTTCCGGTTCAACCGTTGATCTGTGAATTTCTTAGGCAGACCAGATTATGCCCTACCCAACTGTCCACCAATTCATACCGAATAATTATGGGAATAGCCGAACTGAACCGTCAGGCCGGACTAAACCTTGGGCTGGCCGAAATCTTCCATCAATATTCGATCGGCTCAAAAGAAGATGGGTGGGTCTATTACCTTAGGATACGCCGCCGCCGAGAGAAGATAATTAAATATACACCGGACAAAGACCTATCATGGAAGTGATTCTCGAAGTCGAAGTACCTCTCTAGAATTTCAAGTGAAAAAATGAATAATAAAACTTTTTCAAGATTAACAAAAACAGGAACTCCATTCAGTCTATTGTAACATTCTCATGTACAAATCAATAGTACGTATCTCAAGACGTTCGAAACCCATACATGATGAAATAGGAAGAGAATAAAAATTGAAAATTCTAAGCTATTGCATTGTGAGTTATAGAGACCTGCATGTTGCATAATGACTTACAGGGACCTCCACACTTAATGACAACAATTTTTATATTATTTTTTATAAAAAAAATCTAGGGTATGACCATTATATCAAAATAAACCATGAGGTTTCAATTTTGTCAAATTAGGAAGGAAAAAATTAGTCACTAAACCCAATCAAAACCTAACATACCGTTTCCATTGGGTTTAATGATTAAAATACCTTTTAGGTTGATTTTACTTAAAATAAATAGGTAAAGGTTTATATTCAATCAAAAGTTTAAAAATTTAAATTGACAAATTTAAAATTTTATTTTGTTATAGAGTCCTTTTTGTGTGTGTGTGTGTGTGTGTGTGTGTGTAATTTTCCCTTTTAAGTTTTTATATTGCAAGGGTTATCGACAATTTGACAGTGAAGGCAGTGTAATTTCAGAAACCACAGGAAAGTCTCAGTAATTGCCATATATGTACTTAACCCAACTCAACCCAAGAATATTACTAACTAGACCAAGACATGAAACAAGAAAACATCTGTAAAACAAAATACAACATCAATTTTGAATCTTATCAGTAAGATCAAAAATATTCAAACCAAACCTGAAGTTCTCTGAGAACATCAACTCGCTTCCGAATCTTCGGGGGCAGAGTCTCGAGAACATCGGAGTGCTGCCCAGCCAAATTCTGTAGCTTATTCTGCAACAAAAATAAAAAATACCCAATCAATCAATTTAAAAAAAAAAAAAACCCTAATTTCTAAATAAACACATCGGAAACAAACCTTTAGGGCGTTAACAAGACCAGCACGATCCTCTGCACTAAGTGCTACAAACAATAACAAAAATGAAAATAGATTACAGCTTCGATTAAGCACAATCATGTAAATAGATTGTACAGGTAGAGAGAGGAAAGAGAGATTGACGTGGTGGGTTTGAAATTACCGGCGGCGGCGGCGGGGAGGGCGGCGCCGAGATCGGACAAGTCGAGCTGATCTTTGTTGCTCATTTTATGAGGGATTTTATGAAACCCTAGATAGAGAGAGAGAGAGAGAGAGAGAGGAGGGTTTTGGGCTAGATAACGCGAGAGTCGGCGTCGGCCCTTCTCTCTCCCTTTCTCCCGTCGTGACCTAAGGAGGCTCTAGGAATATATACAAGTAGGATTGTGTATAATAGGGGTGGGCGCGGGTCGGTTGCGGCCACGAAACCTCCAATCTGCCATCCGTCTGCCAGATTGGCGGATTGAAGAAAATCAATCCGTATCCGTCCGCCAATCCGGCGGATGCGGATTGACGGTTTGGCGGGTGGATGCGAATCGGTTTAGCGATTTGAAATTTTATAAATTTTCAACATAGTTCAACTTGTGCACTTCCTCAAAAAAAAAAAAAAAATATTACAGTCAATGACTTAAAAAAGTATTACAATTATTGCATGCCCCATCCAAAGAAAGAAAGTTTAAAACTTTAGAATATCACAATTACTGCATGTCTCATCCACATGCCTCATCCACATAAAGTATTACAATCTGTGGTTCTTCAAATATAAAAACAATTCAAATCACAAAAATCATGAACAGAGCAATAGTTGAGATTGTATGTCTCTGTATTATTATATTTATATATGTTTTGAAAACTAAAACCAACTAGCATATTTCATATTTTCTATTTATTATTTTTAGAGTTAGATTTAAAAATTAAAAAATATAGATAAATAATACGTTTACTTTTTTCAATTCAAAAAATATATTCAAGTTGAAAACCTTTTTTCCAACAGAATATTTGAACTCTTTTTCATTTGAAAACACAAACAAAATATTTAAACAAAATGAAAACATAAAATCTTATAAATTACTAAGGTTACTCGCGGTTTGGCGGTTCGGTTGCGGCCAAAAGAACCTCAAATCCGCCATCCGTCCGCCAAATTGGCTGATTGGAGAAAATCAATCCGCAACCGTCCGCTCGTCATCACGCATCCGTCCAAAATGCAGCGGATCGATTTGGTTCGGTCGGTTTTGGCGGATCAGTATATCCGCTGCCCACCCCTAGTGTATAATGTTGTTTAATTCGTTAAAATTTTGCCTATTTGCATCAATTCATATTGTTCTAATTGTGGTTTGAAAAATGCTTCGGACCCCACTGGGGTCGACCCCACTAAGATAGCACGTTATGATTGGATCAAAAAAAATTATTTTATTTTATTTTATTTTATTTTGAATTTCAGTTAGTGGGGGCTCGCCACCTCACTGGAGGTCTGCAGCAAGGTTGTTGTGGTTTTATAGATGATCGCAAATTTTTTTTTGGACAGTTTGGTTTGCGATTTGAACGTATCCGTAGTGTGAGTTGTAAGTTATAATGATACGATTAGCAGATATGGAGGCGGTTTACGAATTGTTCTTATTTTTTAAAAAATTGATTGGGATGTATTAATAAGTACATATTTTTTATTTTTTTATCTTTTTTTTATCACATCACTTTTCTTTTTTTTTGTATGTTTTTTTATAAAAAATCAAAAAATACACTTATTTAGATCATCTCAAACCACCTCTGAAATTGTTTTTTTCCTACTTTAGAATATACGAATTGTACTTATTCTTTGAAAAAGTAAACTTGGACTTGTTTTTTTCCTACTTTAGAATATCAATAATTAATTAATTAAAACTTATAATATTAAAAACACAACAAAATTAATTTCTAACACAAGCAAAACATTCAAACTAACATTAAAATTGAATTAGAAAAAATTATAATAAAAATTAAATAAGAACTAACATATAAAATATCCTACACAGCAACTGCAAATAATATATATATATATATTATGTATATATATGTATACACAGTGAAAGAGTTTTACAAAGCTAACATTCAATAAGAATTGGCTAAAAGGGACAATAGGTAAGAGCATCTCCAACAGTTAACCAAATTTTTCACTAAATTTGAGTAAAAAAAAGCTAATTTTTCCAATTTGATATGGCTTGCTCCAACGGTGCATCAAAAGGGAAGAGTCGACCGATTAATCGACCGGCCGGTCAACCGGTAAGAGCAATTTTTTTTTTTTTTTACCTGTTTGAACCCACTATTTGAAAGGAAAACCAGTCGACCGATTGGTCTTCTCTAACGGTCACGCACAGTAATTTGGTGAAACCTGTATTCTGTTATCAGTTTAATGATTTTTTTGATCAATTCTCATTTTGATACCAATTTAGTGAAACCGTTGGAGCTCAAAAAAGTACATTTTTCACCAAATTTCAAATCTGATGCCAGGTTTGCTGAATTAGGACAATTATGGTGAACCGTTAGAGATGGTCTAAGTCAATAGTGAGGAAAGCTTTTAAAGCACTCATGGCCGAAAGCACCCAGGTTCTTAAATAATAATATAAGAGCATCTCCAACGATTAACCAAATTTTTCACCAAATTTGAATAAAAAATGTTAGATAATGTCTCAATAGGACCACATAATTAAATGTGGTGTTATCATTTATAAGAAGCCTACAATTTAAGTGATTCAATTTAGTTAATAGGCTTAAGGGTATATGTGTTATGGACCTAATGTGTAGATACTAGTTGTATAATTTCTATTTCTATGAGGGGCAGAAATAGAAATTAAAACATATTGGTTAAAGTTGGTTTTCATTCCTTTTGAACTTCCACAACCTTTCAGTTTTGAAAACCAATAAATAGAAATTAAAACCAATAATGGTGAAGTTGGTTTTCATTCCTTTTGAACTTCCACAACCTTTCAGTTTTAAAAACCAATTACAACCTTTAAAAGGTTATGGTCCCTATTCCTTCCCAAGTGGAAAATAAGAACACTGCCATTTTTTTCTAAATTCTCTCAAGGAGAAACATAAGGCACCAAAGAGGAAAGGATTAGAAGGCAATAACATAATCAATAACAAAGAGTTCATTGATAATCACGCTTCCGTTTAACCGTTCATCAATGGATTCAGGTATGTCATTTTGTCTTGATTTCTTGATAATACACATGGTAAATGATCCAAAGTGTAAGGTTTATGTTCTGAAATTTATGTTTACAAAGCTAATTTTCCCAATTTGATATGACTTGCTCCAACGATGCATCAAAAGGGAAAGGTCGACCGGTAACAGTAAGAGCAATTTTTTTTTTTCCTGTTTGAACCTTTTTTGACCGGTTTGAACCCACTATTTGAAAGGAAAACCGGTCGACCGGTTGGTTTTCTCCAACGGTCACACACAGTAATTTGGTGAAACCTGTATTTTATTATCAGTTTGATGATTTTTTTATTCAATTCTCATTTTGATACCAATTTAGTGAAACCGTTGGAGCTCCAAAAAGTACATTTTTCACCAAATTTCAAATTTGATGCCAGGTTTGCTAAACCGTTGGAGATGGTCTAAAAAAAAATGTTTAGTGCAGACGGACGAAATCCATAATTCACCCGCAACTCGCAATGAAAGAATAATTCAAACCACATCCAACTCTACTCTACACTTAAAACCGTCCATTTGTATACAGTTCGGATCGGGTTCGACGGTTTTTGAGGGTTAGATAACCTTATGCCCAGCCCTAGTTTAAATTTTAAAATTTATAATCCACCAATCGAACTGCTCCACTCCATTATAGTTAATATATACATATATATATATACATATATTTTAACTTCCAATGAAACATCAATGTAAAAATGAATGTGAGAAATATTTAAGATATGAAATTTATTTCAAATTAGTGATTATATATATGAAACATATTATGTAAGATTAATTTGTGTTATATATCTCAAAAAATATTATACAAACTAATGTTATTGTGAAAACCCATATTTAAATTTATTCTTAAAAGAAAATAAATAAATAAATTAATTAATTAATGTTATTCAGAACCTACCTAAAATATGGAATAATATAAAAAAAAATTAGTTTTAAATTAACCAAATTCTATCACTAATAAAGACCTTATTAAGAATAATAAGATATTGATGTTCAATAATTATTGTTATAAATTTATATTAAAAAAAAATATATATATATATATATAGGAGAATCAGATTCGGTGGCAAGGGTATGCCACATGCTAACTTGCATGTTGGCTTGGTAAATTCCACCAAATGATGGCTTTTGGGTAGAGTGAAGTTTATGGCAGGAAATAATATCATGAAAAGAGAGAGAGAAAGAGAGAAAGAGAGAGAGAGAGAGATCTGCCTATATATATCATAAGTAGACTTAGTTCATGGACACATACAAACAAAAGAAGGAGTATATACGGGTGAGGAGAGATTCAGTAGAAGGAAAAGAAGAGGGGAAGGTTAAGGAAGCAAAATTTTTCTACCACTTCATCACCCAATCTGAAACTGTGTTGAGAATAATCTGTTTTGAATCTACTAGCATGTTGATCCGAATTTTTAGACAATTTTATACTCAAAATTTCGAGATGATTTCTTCTACAAAGTTGTTGATAATAATGTCTAGTTCATCCAGGAATTTTGGCAACAATTTTGAGCTTTTTATGAATTTATACAAAGTTTTAACTAAATCTGGAGTTGTGAGACAGATTTTACTATGTATTTGAAAATTTATTTAAAATTATATACTAATCCAAATCTGGTAATTTTTAACTAAAAGATGAAATTGGAGAAGTCTAGTTTCATGATAAATTTTTAGATTATGGATTTGATCTATAAATTTGAGCATGGAATTAATGTAAGGAAATGTGACAAATCTGTGTCATAAAAATTGCTGAAAGTTTTACAGGATTATTTACATCTTATTTTTCTGAAATTCTTTCTGAAAAGTGACCTAAACACCCCTATTGAGTATTCTGTTCAATTGCATGAATTTTAGGATTTTGTAAATAATTTATTTATAATTTTTAACACCTAAGTTACAATCTAAAATTTTCTGGACAGGATAAAATCATCATTTCAATATTGTGTTGGTCTAATCCATCAACTATTATAAATTAGTAATCCATGTATGGGTGTGTTGTGATTTATTTAATATTATGCTAAGTCTAATTTGGTAAATCAAAAATTTGTGCATGGGTATAATTATGGTTTATTTCTTGTAGCTAAGTTATTATGTTCATACCATGGTTTAAATTAATTGTCTATTAACTTTTATATGTTGAATTATTTTTGGTGTGACATGTATATTGTTGGGAGTTTTGTTTTAGTTGGTATAACATTATTGGTGATTGAGAATTGAATAATTTGTGTTTAATATATAAATTAACCGAAATGATTAATGGTATACATATAAAGTTACTGACAGAGGGTTAATACCGGATATTCAGGGTGAGCCCTGGTTTTTAATAACTTTTAAGTAAATTGTGTCGCGAAACCCTAAGTTGGCACGGGGATTATTTGAACCCTTATCGGTATTTGGTTTTGGAATAAGGATGGATGTGCGGGTGGCACACAGGGAAGTTACGTACCCCTGGCAGACCGTTCCCTTGGGGCAGACCACGGATGTCACGGTTTGGGTATATAACTCCGAGTGTGGGCATCTTTGGTAGTTCTTGAATATTTGACCAAGGGGGGGTTTCCAAATTAACCGTGGCCATGACTTAGTGGTTGGTAAGTTAAACCTCTTTAGCGAAATTTCAAAGGTCACCTAAGTTATTAAAATTATTTGAAGTATTTTAATGGTTGTAATTTATGTTTACGATTATATTATTATCTCGTGTTTATAATCTCATTATTTTCTCTCAAAAAGATTGGTAGATTGGTTATGTTTTCTTATTGTGCTGCAAAACTCATGGCATATATTTTGTTGCCCTGGCGTTTCATGCCAGATTATGTCGAAGAAGGGACTGAAGCTGAAATTGGAGCTACTGCTAATATCGAACCTTGGCTAACTTGGAGTCAAGATTTTATCAAAATAAAATCATGTTATTTCTTGTATTAGTGTTTAACTATGTTGTGACGTTGTGTGTGAACTTGTAGGTTTATTTTGTTGTTGGACTTTGACTATGTAAGAATTTGAAATTTCCTAATTAGTAGTTAAAATTTTATCTAGCAAGTTATTGTTATTTAAATCTTATGACGTTTCAAGAAAAAAATTTGGGGCGTCACAGTTTGGTATCAGAGCCTAGGATTGAACCTTTGGGCCATGGATAGTAATTTATTATTTTTACATTTAAGAAAACCTTACGTTAATTTGTAATTTTCAGTGACTTAACTAAGTTAGAACCTTTTATTTGTAGGATGTCAGGGTCATCAGACATTAACTCTAACGAGGAAAATTCGGTGGAAAACTATGACATAGAATCTTACCCAAATGAAGAAGTGGAGATGCCTATAGAAGACTATGAATCCGTAGAATCTGACCCAAGTGAAGAAGTGGAGATGCCTATAGAAGACTATGAATCTAAGCCTAAGCTTGACCCTGAACCTGATCCTGAACTTGAGCCTGAACTTGAGTCTGAAGTTGTACCAATATACAACCCCCTGGAGGTTATTGTGATTGAGTTAGACACTGAAGATGAGTCTATAGAAGGCAATACCGAGGAGGGCACTGAAGGTGTAGAAGCCACGTTTTAGGGTTGGGATGTACGAAACGGGTTGCAGATTGGCTCTTTTGTATATGTCAGACTTTATCCCCTAGGAGGTTGTGCTTGGAAAGCTGAGAGTTGGGTGGGTACCTATATCGGACCTGTCCAGATTCTAAGACAAAAGACTCCATGGGTGTACCAATTAGGCCCCTTCCCAGATGGTTTCACCGATAGAGTGGGCGACTTTTTTGACTTTTGGAGCCTTCAGTGTATCATGCCCGACCCAAGCAGAATTGTGAGGAAAGATGGGTCGGTGGACTTCAGGGACTAGAGGACCTATCGGGAGGAGCCGGTGCAGCTGCTAGGGCATCGTGTGTGCGAAACTGCTATCTTCGTGAGAGTGCTGTGGCGATTCATGGGGCTTTTCCAAGCCACCTAGGAGCCGGAAGCCCTTGTGTGGAGAGACTTTCCTTGGCTATTTTAAGGGGTCTTAAAGGAATTATAAACTAGGCTAACCGATTGTTTTATATGCTCACATGTAAAATTGCCTAGTTTAGAATTGTGAGTGTAGGAATTAACTTGGATTGTAGGACCTATCTTTTGCCCATAGTATGTTATTTAATCTTTTCCTTTGTTTACGTGTATTTTGCTGGTTGTAGCTTATCTAGTCTAATTAATGAATTTTTTTTTTTTTTGCACATAAATATAGTAACATATAATAATAACAAATAAATAAATGAATAAATCACAAGAAAATCCCATCATGCAGAATGGCTGGACGAACAAGAAATAATAACGCCAATGGTGATAGAGTGCCTGACGACGATGTCGCTCGAATTATACATGCGATTGCTGATAGGGTAGGCAATATACCACCCCAAAACCAAGATCAAAACAAATCGGGAATGATAGCAAAATTTCAAAAGCTACGTCCCCACAAATTCCTTAGTGGATCAAACCCCCATGAAGCTGAAGCTTGGTTAAGACAAATTAAGAAGTTGCTAGATACTTCCGACATCCAAAATGAACAAGATAGAGTGACCATGGCAGCATTTCAAACGGAAGGGGAAGCAGATCATTGGTGGGAAATGATCAAAAGTGCTCGACAAGTAGAGACATTAACTTGGAGACAGTTTGAAGACTTGTTCATGGAAAAGTATTTTCCTAACTCGCTAAGACAAGAAATGATTCAAAAGTTCCTCCAACTGAAACAAGGAAAAATGTCAGTCGCTCAATATGCGAACCGTTTTGAAGCTTTTTCACGATACGCTTCAGCCATAGTAGCAAATGAAGAGGATAAGGTTAGGCGATTTGAATGGGGCTTGGACACAGACATTAGAGGAAGATTGATCGCAGTGTAACTTTCCACCTATGCTCAAATAGTGGATCGAGCTTTAATTGTGGAATAGGAGTTAGCGAATTCTAAACGCATTCAAAATCAGCGATCAAGGAACAACAACCAACCACGCAGAGGAGGCCCAGTCCGCAACACCAGAAACCATCTTGCGCCAGCACCTTATGCCGAAGGGTTACAGCAGCAACAAAGACAGAATCGAGGAAACCAGCAAGGAGGAAACTTTGTAAATGAGTGGAAAGGAAAGTGTTTCAGATGTGGTCAGCAAGGGCATCGTTGAAGTAAGTGTCCTTAGGGTGGGGAGTATTTTACGGATCAGCGAGGGGCACAAAAATACAACAAATGCCAGCCAGGGCAAGGTTCTAAGCCTACTCAAAATACTCAGGCCAACAAGGGGCAGCCACAAGCCTCTAGGAATGCAGGCCGACCAAGAACACAACCACAAGGAGTTGGAAATGGAAAGAAACCAAGAGGGACTAACCAACAGGCAGTAGGAAGAATGTATGCTCTCCAAGAAGAAGAAGATGTTGATAACCCATCAGTAATTCAAGGTATGTTAATCCTTATGAATTCTTGGGTTAAAGTATTGTTTAATTCTGGAGCTTCACATTCTTTTATATCCACTTTTGGCGAGGGTAATCCTGAGACCTGGATTGTTGATCCTGACCAGTCTGACTGTTTTCGGATGCTAAAGAAAATGTGATTCAAGCTCGTTGGTGGTAAGGGCAAAGAGTACATTCGTCACGGGATAGAAGTTGTAAACCGGTTTTTCCCAGTTGATGTTTGGACAGACTACAAAGATACGCTGTTGGGAAATATTAGAAGCATTCAAAAGGGTGCCATATATTTAGTGGCTGCTACTATTAGTGGAAAAAAATGCAAAATTACTTTAAGGAGTCAAATGTACTTTAAAACTGTTTAGAATTGTAATTTAATGTATTTTTATTTTTAATGTTCAGGTTAATGGAGGTGGAAGATATAAAAACTAGGGTTATTGAAGATGTTTTGGTAAATGATTTCAGTTGTATTGAACTTGCGCTGCCTAATTTATTTTCTCAATTGAGGTTAAGACACAAACAAAAAAGTATTAAGGTTGATAAAATATTGATAAAATATTCCCCCCTTTGCGCACCCAATGCTAGTGGGTTGGTCAGAATAAATGTTTATGATCGGAGGTTAGACGGTAATGACAGTTTGCAGGCATGGTTTTATTTTCCCAGTAGATTGTCAATGCGAGTTAGTCTATTATGGGAATAGTTGTTGTTCAATTAACGATAAACAAGTGCCATGGGTGGTGAAGTATCGACTTGAAAATTCGAATATTAAAAGGGGGATTATGTATTGTAAAATGAAGGGGTATCTGAAGTTTTCTACGAGTGACATGCCAGAATATTTTTCAAATGAGGGCCCCCTCTATTGTCATGTTATCTAAAAAATATACTAATGAAAATGTTGATGTTTGGCATTGTCCTTCAACTAAGGCCATTCCGATTATGACACGGGCTAAGTCTGTGGGTTTACCAGAGAGGCAAAAAGATTTGTTATTAGGAGGTTTTGGGAAAAGTGGTTCAGTTATTCATGAACACAGAAGTGGTTACATTAATATCAAACAATTCTCTCATTTTTTGGAACATTGCATCTAACCAACTACTGTCCCCATTAGTTAATATAATATATGAAATTTCTCCTCTAATAGTGAGATCTAGTGGAAATTTTACAAATACATGAAAATCTCTCTGGCAACCTACTAAATTCTTTATTAACCTCCACACTATTCGGGTGCACGCACTTTAAATAAGGACCAGTGAAGGACTTCTTATATAACGCGCCAGATGAAGAGAGCCAAAACCGCTCTGACTTCACCCGGATTTTGTGTGCTTCTTTCTTGTCAGTTGGAAGAGTCCGATCTCTGAGGAACAAGATCAAGGGGTCCATCCAGGAAGGACCTAGCGCGGCGCAGAGTACATCCGTCTGCCCGGCGTCTTCAATGCTTGGCCGCGGAAGAAAGTCAATCAAAAGAGGGTTTGGAGACGTACTGTCTACCATGGAGGCGAGGCCGGCCAGCTCATCAGCTCGGCTGTTTTCTTCACGACCAATTTGTTGGACTCTGATTGCCTCAAACAGCTTGATATGCTCCCTGACCAGAGCTTTCCTTTGCTTCATAAATCCCAGAAACTTGGTTAACCACAAGATGGGAATCACTGTACACCAGGAGCTTGGCAGCCTTCATTTGAATTGCGCTCTTGAGCCCGGCGAGAAGTGCCTCGTACTCAGCCTCGTTGTTAGATGCCAGGAAGCCAAACGTGATAGAATGTTCAATGGTTAGGCCATCCGGGGAGATAAGAACGATACCTAGGCCGGCACCATGGCGGTTGGACGCTCCATCAACAAAAAGCTTCCACATGTCCCCCACAAAAAGCTTCCAGCAGTCGGATGGGTCCTGAGAGTTGCGAAGGGTAGTGGGATCACAATTGTTCGGCTGTGAGGCTTCTGGCCCAAGCGGTTTTGCCTGTTCTTGAGGGTCCTTCGAGGTAGAGGGAGATTGGGCGGATGGGCCTCTGCTCTGGTTCCTGTTATCAGAGGAGGAGGAGAGTTCTTCGTCAGAGTATTTGATGTCGTCTATCACGTTGTAGACGGCGTCTTGGTCGTAGTCCTTGAAGCTTATTCTGCTGGAGAAGTAATTGTGTCGTCCGAGGCTTCTGGCCCAGGCGGTTTTGCCTGTTCTTGAGGGTCCTTCGAGGTAGAGGGAAATTGGGCGGATGGGCCTCTGCTCTGGTTCCTGTTATCAGAGGAGGAGGAGAGTTCTTCGTCGAGTTTGATTTTGAAGTTTAGAACTAGGCAAGCTGTTAATAAGAAAAACAGAAGTAGCAAGAACATCAAACCAATAAGCAAGAGGAAGGCCTGATTGCTGTGGCAAAGTAATGGTGGTGGTGACAAGATGCCTATGTTTCCTCTTAGCAACTCCATTTTGGAGAGGAGTGTGTGGACAACACATTTGATGAATAATGCCATGTGTTTTAAGAAAAGTTTCAAACTGAGAACTATCTTTCTTTACAGAGAGCAAAGAATTGTTCCTCCGTTTCTGCTTTGCCAAGTATTCCCCTCCAGAGTTCGTCTCTATTTTTCGAAGGAATTCCCGCCCATTACTGTGTTAGTCTATTATCACTGATGACAAAAAACAACACATGGTGGATCACAGCTTCGTCCTTAGCATCCTGTCCCAATTGAACATTACCAATGAATTTGATACCCTTAACCACGATCTTGTCTGATTGACGGTCAGATCTCTTATTACCCAACTCAATACCATTAAGTAATCTCGTCACGCCTTTATTATCAAACTTAACGTCCCTTAATTGTTCATCGCATAGCTATAATTTCCTTACTCCTCTCTTAGTCTTCTTAATAAGTCGGGGAATATTCTGAACGTACCATCTGTGAACATACTGGGTCTTAAAAGGTGGACTACGGTAACTACGCCTATATCCACTGGCCACCGGTGTCCTTGACCTCCGGTATGCAAGGGGGGTTCGGTAATGGCTGTTTCCTATTCCTTCCATTTTTTATAAATAACTCCAAATCTTTTATACGAACACTTCTACAGGATCTGTTACCTCTGCTAACCTTTCTATTTAGACACCTTAGCTTTGATATTTTTGCCTTCTGCTCTTTGTACACCGAAACAAACTTCACCGGAGCTCTCCGTCGGCTCTCTTCCCACAGTCCTAGTTGCCACGTCAAAAAACGATCTACACACATTTGAGTGAACTGTCCGTAATTCTCAGGAAACTCTTCTAAGGAGTACAACATTGTATGCCAAATAAATCGACAAAAATGGCAGAAAGAAAAGGAGGGACGAAACAAGGTACCAGAAAATCACCTCAGTGTAATAACTCTCCAACTGCAAAAGCATATCTCTCTTATCTCTCTCCACCGACAATATCTGAGGCTGCACCCAGATATATAGACAGCTGTAAATACGGAGATTCGGAATTTAAAATTTGAATTCCCACCCATTACTGTTCATTCACGCGAAATTCTGTGCACCTTTGCTTTATATCCAAGCAAAACCACCACGATCGTGACACGTGGATAGACAGGAGATGGCCACGTCTACTCACACCAAGCCCCGGCTACTCACACCAAATAGTGATTACTGTGTGACAAGTTTGGGTTTAGAACCAAAAGCGTTAGAGATAGCTATGAGTGTCGTTTTACCCTTAGGAGGTCAAACTCGAGTAAATCTAGTATGTAAATCTTGTGAGCTAGGAATCTCCAGTACATATTTGATCTGTGATCTAGGAGTTATGGATATGTCTGATTTTGACGTCATCATAGGAATGGACTGGTTGTCAGTTCATCGAGCCATCATTGATTGTTACTGTAAGACAGTGACAGCATCCCCCCTTAACGGCACGAAAGTTCAATTTAAAGGAGATAGACAGGATTCTCTAACTCCAATGTGTCGCAAGTCGCGATGGCATGATCAACTAATCGGATGGTTGGCAAGCCTAATTTTGGAAGACGAAAATCAAAAGGGTCCAGGATTACTCCATGTGGTGTGCGAATACGCTGATGTTTTCCCTGATGAATTACCGGGATTACCCCCAAAACGAGACGTAGATTTCACGATTGAGCTTCAACCTGGGACTTCACCGATTTCAATAGCACCATATCATATGGCGCCAGCTGAACTTCAAGAATTGAAGGAGTAGTTGCAAGAACTGTTGAATAAAAAGTTCATTAGACCAAGTACGTCTCCTTAGGAAGCGCCAGCATTATTCGCGAAGAAGAAAGATGGAACCTTAAGATTGTGCATCGATTACCGACAACTAAATCGAGTCACCATTAGAAATCGATATCCCCTACCCAGAATTGATGACTTGTTCGATCAATTAAGAGGCTTAAAATGTTTTTCCAAAATTGACCTTAGGTCGGGATATCACCAACTTCGTGTCAAAGGAGGAGATATACCCAAAACTGCATTTCGAACCCGTTATGGCCACTATGAGTTTGTGATAATGCTATTTGGTTTGACGAATGCGCCTAGGGTATTCATGAGTTTAATGAACAAAATCTTTACACCCTATTTGGACCAATTTGTGGTAGTATTCATTGACAATATTTTGATATACTTAAGATCGGAGGAAGACCACGAGCAACATTTGAGAACCGTTTTGCAAATTCTAATAGAGAACCAATTGTATGCTAAAGCTAGCAAATGTGAATTTTGGTTGAAGGAAGTAAAATTCTTAGGTCATGTTGTGTCTGAATCAGGAATATCAGTGGATCCTGCTAAAGTAGAAGCAGTAATGGGGTGGAAACAACCTAAGAATACGTTTGAGATTCGTAGTTTCTTGGGATTAGTAAGTTATTATAGGAGATTCATTCAGGATTTCTCCAAATTAGCCAAGCCGATGACACGCCTAACACAAAAAGGAGTAAAGTTTGAATGAGACGAAGCGTGTGAGCAGTCATTTCAAGAACGTGACGCTGGGTACACTGTTTATTGTGATGCCTCTAAAGAAGGGTTAGGTAGTGTGTTAATGCAAAATGGGAAGGTAGTAGCTTACGGATCAAGACAATTAAAGAATCATGAGAAAAATTATCCTACTCACGATCTGGAGTTGGCGGCTGTGGTCTATGCACTTAAGAATTGGCGACATTACCTTTATAGTGAAAAATTTGAGATATTTACCGATCACAAAAGCTTGAAGTACTTGTTCACACAAAGAGATTTGAACATGAGGCAAAGACGCTGGATGGAGTACCTTGAAGATTACCAATTCACCTTGTCTTATCATCTCGGGAAGGCTAATGTTGTAGCAGATGCACTAAGTCGAAAGACAAGAGAGATTGTAGCCAACATATCAATTAAAGAATGGGAAATGGTAAGCACTGTGAATGGGTTTAAGTTACAACCAGAGACTCAGGATGGCAATGGTAGGTTGTTTACAATAGTTACCACACCCCAACTTCTTACCAAAGTGTTGGAAGCCCAAAGATTTGATCAGGAGGCGGACTTTATCAAGGCCCGATTAGTGTTCGGGGAATCTTCCCCAGATTGGACGCTCCACCAAGATGGTAGTTTAAGGTATTTAGGTAGAATTTTTGTGCCAAACATCGAACAATTAAGAGACGAAGTACTTAAAGAATTTCACCATTTGGTTTTTGCGATTCATCCGAGAGGAAATAAGATGTACCAGGATCTTAAGCGACAGTATTGGTGGAGTGAAATGAAGAAGGACGTTGCTCAATTTGTATCTAAGTGCTTAACGTGTCAGCAAGTGAAGGCAGAACATCAAAAGCCAGCAGGGAAACTCCAACCTCTACTAATGCCTAAGTGGAAATAGGAACACATAACAATGGATTTTGTAACGAGATTACCCCGGTCGCCGCAAGGCCATGATGCCATTTGGGTGGTGGTTGATCGATTAACTAAGACGGCACATTTCCTACCAATAGGACCAGCAGACACATTCGAATCTTTAAGACGATTATTTGACGTGTCAGCAAGTGAAGGCAGAACATCAAAAGCCAGCAGGGAAACTCCAACCTCTACCAATACCTAAGTGGAAATAGGAACATATAACAATGGATTTTGTAACGGGATTACCCCGGTCGCCGCAAGGCCATGATGCCATTTGGGTGGTGGTTTATCAATTAACTAAGACGTCACATTTCCTACCAATAGGACCAGTAGGCACACTCGAATCTTTAAGTCGATTATTTATTCGAGAAATCATTAGATTGCACAAAGTACCAGTCTCAATAGTGTCAGATCGTGATTCTCGTTTTACGTCACAATTCTGGCAAAGTCTGCAAAAAGCCTTGGGTACAGAGTTGTGTTTTAGCACAGCTTTTCACCCTCAAACTGACGGTTAATCAGAAAGAATAATTCAGACTTTAGAAGACATGCTTCGAGCTTGTGTGATAGACTTTAAGGGTAGTTGGGAGAAACACTTACCACTAGTCGAATTCTCTTATAATAACAGTTTTCAAGCAAGTATTGGTACGGCACCGTATGAAGCTTTGTACGGATGGCCTTGCCGATCACCAATATGTTGGACAGAAGTCGGAGAAGCACCTCTTTTAGGGCCAGAGTTAGTTCAAGAAACTACCGAGAAGGTAAAACTAATTCGGCAAAGACTTGAGACAGCTCAGAGTAGGCAGAAAAGCTATGCAGATCAAAGAATAAGACCTTTAGCATTTAAAGTTGGAGATCATGTGTTTCTGAAAATACAGCCTCGTCGAGAAGTTGTTCGTTTCAGAAAGAAGGGAAAGTTGTCACCTCGCTTCATTGGGCCTTTCGAAATCTTGGACAAAATAGGAGAAGTAGCATACCGTTTGGCTCTACCACCTCAACTGGCTGGTATACATAATGTTTTCCACGTCTCTATGCTACGAAAATACGAGCCACACTCTTCTCACATCATTAATTGGGAGGAAATCAATCTCGATGAAGACGTGATATTTGAAGAAAAGCCTGTCAAAATTTTAGATCGTCGCGAGAAGAAATTACGAGGTAAAACTATACCGTTGGTTCGAGTTCTCTGGAGACATCGTGGGACGGAAGAGTCAACGTGGGAGCGAGAAGATATGATACGTGCCAATTACCCTCAACTTTTCGAGTCTAAAGGTAAAAATTAATTTCGAGGACAAAATTTTTTTTTTTTAGGAGGGTAGATTGTGAAAACCTATATTTAAATTTATTCTTAAAAGAAGATAAATTAATTAATTAACTAATTAATGTTATTTAGAACCTACCTAAAATATACAATAGTGAAAAAAAAAATTAGTTTTAAATTAACCAAATTCTATCACTAACAAAGACCTTATTAAGAATAATAAGGTATTGATGTTCAATAATTATTGTTATAAATTTACATTAAAATATATATATATATATATATAGTACTAAATACCTTAGTTAAAAATCTTAGTGTGTCAATTTTCAGAAACCCACAAAAAAAAATAATAATAATAATAAAATAAAATAATAATAATAATAATAAATAATGCAAACAAACAAACCATGGGCAAACAACCCACAGCTCCTACCAAATCCACCATCTTTTATAAAATTTAGGGAAGAACTTATAAAAATTAGAGAAAGTTTGCTCTTAGAAATTGGAGAAAGGGAATGGATTGTTTTTGAGAAAATAAAATAATGGAAAGAATGAGAGGGAGAGAGAAATGTCTTCAATTTATATATATGCATGCAAGCCTTCCTTGTGCATGCAAGCATTCGGTGGGAAAAAAAAGAGAGGAAGAAGAGAGAAATCCCCAAAGCAACCAAGCTTAGTGATAGGAGAGGAAGAAGAGTAGGAGATTAAGGAAGCCAAAATTCTCAACCATTCTGTCACCCTATTACTAGGTAAGAAAACCCTCTCAACCCTCTCATTTTTTTTATATAATTGAAATTTTTCAGATTATGTACATTGGATACATTGTCTAAAACTGTGTTGAATCTGTCAGCATGTTTGCCCAAATTTTTAGACAATTTTATACTCAAAATTTCAATATTAATTCTTCTACAAAGTTGTTGATAATTATGTCTAGTTCATCCAGGAATTTTTGGAAACAATTTTTGAGCTCTCTACGAATTTATACAAATTTTTAACTAAATCTGAAACTGTGTTGAGAATAATCTGTTTTGAATCTGCCAGCATGTTACCCGAATTTTTAGATAATTTTATACTCTGAATTTTGAGATGATTTCTTCTACAAAGTTGTTGATAATGATGTCTAGTTTATCCAAAAAAATTTGGAAACAATTTTTGAGCCCTCTACGAATTTATACAAATGTTTAACTAAATCTGAAACTGTGTTGAGAAATCTGTCTTGAATCTGCAGCTCCTGGGCGGAGCAAAGAAGACTTGAGAGATTACCTCAAGAAGAAACAACAGAATCCCGATGTCGATGTAACTTCTCCTGTTAAGCCGAGAACACCATTCTCGGTGAAATTGGACAAGTTTGAGGTTCCAAAGAGATTCAGTATGCCGAGGTTCCAAATATACCATGGTAAGTCGGACCCCAACTTTCATGTTGGATTATACCTGAATTCAATGGCATTGTACAGTGGAAACGAGCCATTGCCCTGCAAAGTGTTCCCCTCATCTTTTGGGGAGATTGCATCAGATTGGTTCCACAAATTACCAAAGGGAAGTGTAAAGACTTGGAAAGGCCTGACCGAGATGTTTGTGGCCAGGTTCGTGACAAACAAGCTGCAGCCATTGAGGGTGGACGCACTAATGGCTCTGAAGATCAATAGGGATGAAGGCCTTAGGGCCTATGCAAAACGGTACTATGAGGTATTCAACCGAATACCAGAGTGTAATCAAGAGGTGGCTGTCGTATCTTTCAAGAACGGCCTAAAAGACAACTATCCACTACGAAAGTCTTTGGCAAAGACATTGCCAAAAAGTATGGAAAAACCCATAGTGAGGATCGAGAAGTACGCTAGAGCCGAAGAAGATACATCGGGGACCAAGGAGGCAAAGCAAGAAAAGGAAAACGGCTCCCGAAGCGAGGCTAAGGTAACAACGGATCCAGCAAGCAGGAGATAAAACTGAGGGCAACACAGGCAGTGACAACTGTGTTCCGAATCCTAATTCACAAAGTCTTGGATCAAATTCGGAATCAACCCTATTTCAGAACACCATCAAAGGCACCAGGAGAATGCATGGGAAGAAACCTTGGCAGGCATTGTGCT